TATTGCTTCCCTTTCAATTTCATTAAAGAGTGTGAGGAGTAGCAGCATTAGATCTTCTCTTAATTTCTTGTAGAATACAGTGGTGAATCCATCAGGACCTGGGCTTTTCTTTGTTGGTGGATTTTCAATTACATCTCAATTTCATTGACTGATATTGGGTTATTTCAAATTTTTATATCTTCTTGATTCAGATTTGGCAATTTATATGTATCTGGGAATCTGTCTATTTCTTCTATGTTTTTCATCTTATTAGAATACAGGTTCTGGAAGTAGGTATTGATGATCTCCTGCATTTCTGCAGTATCCATTGTGATTTCACCCTTCTCATTCCTAATTGCATGAATTTGAGTCTTTTCTTTCTTTTTTTTTATAAGGTTGGCTAAGGACTTGTCAATTTTATTTAATCTTTCAAAGAACCAACTCTTCAATTCATTGATTCTTTGTATTGTTTACTTATTATCCATTGCGTTAATTTCTCTCAGATCTTTATAATTTCTTCCCTCAGATGATCTTCAGGCTTGACTTGCTCTTCTTTTTCCAGAAGCTTGAGGTTTGTCATTAGGTTGTTTATTTGAACTCGCTCTGTTTTTCTGATACAGGAATTCACTGCTATAAATTTTCTCATAGGACAGCATTCATTGCAACCCATAAGTCCCAGTATGTTGGACTGTAATTATCATTTAATTGTAGAAACTGTTTAATTTATTAATTTTACCTGTGACTCGTTGGTTGTTCAGGAGGGTGTTATTTAATTTCTCTGTGTTTATGAAGTTCTTGTGGTTTCTTTTGCCATTTATTTTCAATTTCATTGCACTATGTTCTGGTAATAAACAGGGGGGTAGGATAACAGGTCATAGAATATGTGGTGCTGTCATGCCAGTTTGGGGGTGCTCCTTTTAAGGGTTCCAGGTGAGAGAACTGCATCTACTGCTTTATAAACTCATGTCCATGGTTTTTCTGATATGATCTGGCATGCTTACACACCCATATGCTCTCAATTAAACTCAATAAGTTAATTTTCTATTGGCATGAATAAATTATCAGTTTGGGCCTTGTGGTTATAGCATAATGATGTTCACTTACACAAACAAGGCTTAGAATAATTCTGAAATGACTTGAATGCAAATGTAGTGACCAAGGTCAAAATACTACTTATAAAATGAAGTGACTCAGGGATAAGTACAGCCTTGAAGTTGGTGTCCTGTACAACATAAAGTAGCTCAGATCATAACAGCCTGCTTTTCATAAACTTCTTCAGTCCATGCACTTCTAGAGCCTATTTTAAATACAGAGACCATAAGGATCGAGTTAAAAACATCCAGTAGTATTTTCCCTGTTCATGATTTCCAGAGGACTTCCCATTTCACCCAGGAAAGCAAAAAAACCTTCAGAACCTGCACTCCAACCCTTTAGCTGTCCCCACCACTTCCTACTGCCCTGAAGCTCCATTCTTCCAGGTTTTCAGGATTTTCACATAAACTATGGAAGTGCCTATTCATTAGCAACACTGAGAATGTTCTTATTGTTCTCCAGCATCTCAACTCCCTTTCTCCTAGTCCATTAGCACCTCTGGGTTCACATCAGAGTGTTTGTGTGTTTGTAGTCTGACATGGATAATGTATTCCATCACTCAGGAGACAGAAAGGAAGCCCAACCCTTCCCTTTTCCCTTGACATCCAGAAGAGGGAGTGATCCCTTCCCCATGCTTCTCCTTGCCTCCTCAAGAGTGACCTGGAGCACTTAGCCCCATCTCTTCTTCCACTTCTAGTTTTTCCAGCATCCACCTTCTAGGTCACAATGACAGCAGCCTTGGCCAGGTGGACAGCAAGTCAGCCCTTCTCAGCTCTGGTGCTCCTGGAACCTTCCTAAGGAGCAGCCAGAAAGCCACACATAACAGGGAGCTTATAGGATCAGAGCCTATTGCCAATGTTCCCAAACTTCCGTGATCAGGGTCGTGATCAACACAACTGGCCCTCCTAGAGACTCCTCAAAGGCAGCAGCAGTGGAAACATAAGAGCTGTCGATGAAGTAGCCATTTCTGCCAAAGACCCAAAGAGCTTTTACCACTAGGATTCAGACATTCTAGATCCCCAGTGGAAGTTCTGGGAGATAGTCACTTTGGCCACAGCAGGCTTTGAAAACAGATGACACTGTCCAGCAGCCTCCTGATGACTTCACTCTGCAACCTCCAGGTGCCCCTTCCCCCAGGCAAGGGAGTCAGAAAGCTTTCACTGAGCTAGGCAGAGAAGGCAGAAAGTCTGCTTCCAGAATGGGAACTGTAAGACTTGAATAGGCTAAAGTGACTCCATGCTAATAGACCAGACTGTGCTTCTTCATATGCTAATTGCTACCTTGGTTAACAGCCCGCCCAGGGGCAAATGGTTTGACAAAAGGTGACCCTAGAACATTTCCTGCATAAGATAAGCAATGTGTTTGCAGTCTTGTTCTGTGAATTCCCTGACTCTTTGTTTAGAAAAACCTTATAAAAAGTACCTCAGCCCCTGAGCAGTTGCCTCTCTGAGCCACCTGGCTCCGGGAGTGCCGTCTGGCTAGACTAATAAAGGTCTCTTTTACCATCTAGCCTGGTGTGTTCCTTCCTGGGTTTCTCGGTTCTCTGTCGTGTTCCCGGAGCCTCGCTGGGTGTTAGGGCCCAGCCTCGTGGAGGCCTTTCGGCTGTCCACGCTCCGTGGAGTGGAAGTGAGACTTTAGGTCTTACAGGAACACCATAGCAAAAGCGCAGAGGACAAGAGGCCGAGATTTTTTCCTGCTCCTCAAGGAGAACTACACTTCCCAGGAGAGTCGGGCCTGCCTCAAAACCTACACCTCCCAGAAGACTGTACAACTACACTTCCCCGGAGGCTCCGCGCCTGCCCAGAGGCACTGTGGGTGGTTGGCGACCAATGTGGGTCCTGCTGGAGACCTTTACCTCACGCATTTGTGGTTCACGCCTCTGATTGGCACCTAGCAAATGGGGCGGGGCTGTGATCCCTGACCCAACGGCTGCTGGATCCTCCGAGCCGGGGGTGGGGCCCAAGAGGTGGGTCAGCTAGCAAGCTGGGAATGAGTAAAACCCCGACCACCGCACACTGGTGACGCTGGAAAAGAGAAGAGACAAGAACAGAGCTGCAGGTTTGCAGGCTTGAAGGTCCAGAGAAGGCTCAAGTTTGAGGAGCCAACAAAGCCACCGCCAGGGCAAGCGAAAAACCAGGCGAGGTGGCCCGGAACCGCATAGTCACACCCTCTCGTGGAGCGCTGACTGTCTCTCTGCAAGCTGGCGGCGGGGAGGACTGCAGAAGGCGCTCCCCTTGCCTTAGCTGCTCTTGTGTCGGTCCGCTTTCCCTAGGTCCTGGTGAGCAGCAAACCAGCTCTAGACTCAGCAGGTCGCAGCATAGATCCATTTCTTACTGTATGGGTCAGGAGACAGAAACACATGAATGATTTAAGAGGAAGTTTGGTTGTCTGGAGATAGGATGCTACTGTGTGACCCAGGCTAGCCTTGAACTCGTGGACTCAAATGATCCTCCTGCCTAAGCATCCTGAGGACCTGGGGCAGCAGGCATTTACCCAGCTAGCAGGAAAATTTTAATATAGGAAGAACTGTTTATTAGGAAAAAGAATTGCAGAAGAGCTGCATGTAGATATAGTGCATGCAGAAAAGAGTTTATAAGAAAAGGCTGAATTAGAAAAGAACTCAGAACGCCAGGGATTTGGCTAAGTGGCACAGTGTTGGCAGAGAGGGAGGGAGGAGGGAGACGTGGTGTTCCCAAGAACAGGGAAGAAGGCTTTGACTTGGCCCTAAGGGGTGGGGCTTTTCCCTGTTGTTCCCACCCCACCACTACCCTCTCTGCCCTCTGTGTTGCTGTGTAGTGTTCCTACCCCAGCCAGGGTGTTTCCCTCCATCAGACCTTTCAGGACACTTGGGCCCTTTCCAGAGACCATGACTGTCCTCCCACTTTCAACCAGGTTATCTCCCTCACCTCACACTGCTGGAGGATGTGACCATGGCTTCAGTCACCCATGCTTTCAGCTCACTGATGTCCTTCACGTGCATCTTTGTCCCAGACCAGCTCTCTCAGCTCTGTTGCATATTCACCTGCCACTAGCACCTCCACATCCACAGAGAAGCAGGAGGGGACAATGAGGTTGTTGGGCAGGACTCCATGGGGCCTGGAGCCTTGATCTTGACTACATATCTATCTCTTCCCCTTGCTAACTTTAGTCTGTATCTGCTGGTAATAAGAACCACAAGCAGACCAGCTGTCTGGGTGGAGTCCTTCTAGTGTACCCCTGAGCCTCAGCCTGCATTCCGAGGGCAGACCCCAGCCACCTTGCATGGTCTGTGTTTGTTCTTTGACCTGTGCTTCTGACACATGGACCTCCTGCCTGTTCCTGGTGGGCACCATGTTTGCCCTGATGCCCGGTCTTCAGCCTGACATTCCTCCACTGTTGACCCCATGTCCAGAGTCTTGTCAAGTCTATTTACTGCTCACTTCCTCTGCAAGGACTTTCTTAACCATCCAACCTGAACAAGCCCTCACTTCCCAGGCCCTTTCTCACATCTACTGGGTTTTTTTTCTTCTCAGCACTATCACTACCTGAGTTATCTTACTGAGTTGCTTTCTTGTTTCTCTTTCACTCTAAAGCAGTCCTTGGGATCAGGAAGGTTTCTGTGTTGCTTCTTTTTCTGTCCCTAATGATGGCAATAAATTAGGAGAGGTGTCAGGAATGAGGGACTGGCAGCAGTCTCCAGGCTCGCAGCCTCTCCTACCCCTGAACACCCATGCAGCCTGTAGCTCTGTGTTCCTAATGGGAATCTTCATGGCTCAGCAGTGGCAAAATATCATCTTGCCTGACTAGTTTCTATTGCCATGTAACCAGTTACCCCTGCAGGGGAGTTTTAAGCTTACCCCCCACACCAAAGCTTGCATAATTTTGATCTATGGAATAAACTGACAAAAACAGATTAATAGAGAAATATTATGCCCATTTATTTCATCCCTAAGCACAAGAGTCATATACAAGTGGGATGAGATGAGGCAGGATAACTGAGCCAAACCAAGAGACAGGGACTCAGAATATAGGAAGGGCAGTGGCACAGGATGCAGAGTATGGGAGGCACAGAGGGACAAGGGTTGTCCTGTTTCCCCGACAGTCTTCCAGCAACAGACCCCTGTGGTCATCTGTCTGGGCCAGATCCGTAACAGGCAGGCAGAAAGAGGGTAGACATCAGACCTGCATCCACTGTTTATCAGTTCAGGTGGGTGTCAATCTCTGTCACAGCATTTCAAAGCCCTCCCTGAAGCTGCAGAGATCTGCAGTTTGTCTAGCCATCTTGAAATATGCCAATGATACATGACACACTTTAGAGTCCCATACCCTAAAACTTAAAACTTAGAGTAAAGAGCACTCATTATCAGTTGCTGTGGATCAGAAATCAAGGTGTAGCTTCACTGGCTGCCCCAGGCTTAGGGGCTATTCTAGGGCTCTGTCAAGTTCTTTTGGCCATGATCCCAGTCCCACCTTAGACAGGTCCATGGAGCTCTACCTCCACCGAGCTGTCCTGTAGTGTTGACAGGCCTGGTCATGTGGGCCTCTCAGGGATTCCTTGGAGCAGGGTTCCCAGGGTGAGGGCATGGCCATAATGTTTCTTATGTCAAAGACAAGGTTGAATACTGGGCTGGGAAGTGGAAATCCAGCTGAGCAGAAGTTAGAAGTTAGCTTGTCCAAGGAGAGGCAGACATCCAGTCATTTCCTCATTCTGCAAATACACATCTGGCCAGCAGAGGGAAGAGTAGCCAAGCCAGTGACCAGGCCCAAGATCTTAGCCAGAAAAGCTTGGAAGGAGCTGTGGCTGCAAATGATGGCTCTCTCAGCAAGGCAGATGTGGCTGTGGACAAGAAAGAATTGAAGATGAGAAACAGGCTACTGAAGCAGGTGGGAATGCTGGGAGCTCCTCAGCCTGCACATAGCCACTTTCTGCAGCCTGTGTCTCCTGTCACTGTATCACCTGACAGAGACCAGTCAGAGCAATGGGAATAATCACCAAGTCAAGCAGAGGAGGCTCAGAAAAGCTCAGCGGACAGAGGTGAGCACTGTGCCCCTGCGTTCTAGTCTCAGGTTCTTGTCCCAACTATGTTCAGGCCCTTTTCTGGAGGCCTGTGGAGAGCTGAATGCAGCTGCATGAAGGGGGAGAGACAGCATTTGGATCCAGTAGATGCACACAGATATCTCCCCACCAGGGCTGGCCCCTTCCTTCCCTCTATCAGTCAGCCTGACAACCCTCCCTCCAGCCTGCTGTGGAGAAAATGTCCCCACCTCCTGCCTTTCTGCTCACCCCTACAGGCCCTGAGAAACAGCCTGAGGCTTGGCTACTGGCCCTCAGGGCACTGCCTGCACATGATGCCCATCCCCAGCCTCTCCCTAGATGTGCAGGCTCTGACCCACAGTCACCAGCTCCCAGGGCCTGGCTCACACACCACCACCAAGGGTCACTGAGCTTCTCAAAGCACCATTCTACCCTCTGGGATTCCTGTAGTATAGGGCTGGGCTCCCTAAGCAGCCATTCCAAGCTGTGTATGGATATCAATGACAGGCTTCATTGTAACTGTGGTTGAGCTCCCTGAGTACTGGGTTATTTTCTTGTAAAGGGATGCATGTTCCGGGAAGGATTGGTCTGTAGAAATCGGGTCTTGACATCTGCTCCAGATCCCTTGCCCTCTCTGTGAGAAGCAGCATGGACTTTGTGGCCACAGGTGCAAATTTGCAGACCTGGCTGTTTTGTTCATCTGGGAACCAGCCTGGTTTCCAAGACCCAACTATGAAGGGACAGAGGCCTAGAGCAACATGGTGAACATCAGCGCTCATGTCCCTCCACAAGTGGCCCAGCCTCACAAGCCCCTCCAGGGGGATAGTGGAGCCCCCAAAACTGTTGCCCATCCCATCCCCTGACTTCTGAAGCCTCTGACAATAGAGAAAATAAATACAAAATAAACAAGCCATGTGCCACTCCATGTCCTCCAGAATCTTTATAAAGAAAAATAATAGGTGTTAACAAATATGGAGAAGTTAGAACCTTCCTGCATTGCTGATAAAAACGTGAAGTATGACAGAAGGGTCTCTTCAAAAAGTTAAGCACAGGGTGGGGATTGTCTCAGTGGCATAGCGCCTGCCTTGCAAGTGCAAGGTTCTGAGTTCAATTTCTGGTACCAAAAAAAAAAGTTAAGCACAGCCAGGCCTGCTAGCACACAAGTGTGATCCCAGCTACTCAGTTCACAAGTTCAAGCCCAGCCTGGACAACTTAGAACCTATTTCAAAGTAAAAAGACCTGGGAATGTAAGTCAGAGGTAGAGCACGTGCCTAACAAGATCCTGGATTCCATCCCAGCACCACAAAAAAAAGAAAAACTTAAGCACAGAATTACAGTACCAGATGACCCCACAGTGTCACTCCTAGGCCTATTCCCAAAAGAACTGAAAATTCATGCTCAAGCAAATACACAACTGTGGAGTTCACAGCAGTGCCACTTACAACAGCCAGCATGGAAGTGACCAAAAAGCCCAGCAACCAATGAGTGATGAGCAAGGCATTCATCTGATGGAGTGTGGTCTAGCCATGAAGGGATCAAGGCTCTGACACACACTTCAGTGTGGATGAGCCCAGGAAACATTGTAATCAGTGGAAGAAGCCTGACACAAAAGGGCACATAGTACACGATTCCATTTAGAAAAAAATGTCTAGGAAAACAACTCCACAAAGACAGAAAATAGATTAGTGTTTATGAGGAGTCAAAGGAGAGGGATTATAGGGGGTAACTCAATGGACGTAGCAGCTTAAGGTTGCACAACATTGTGAGTGCAAGATACCAATGAATTGTTCATTTTAACATGGTTAACTTTATATGAACTTCATCTCAATAAACATTTTTTAGGGCAGGGGATGTAGCTCAGTGGTGCAGAGCCTGCCTGACAAGCTTGAGACCCTGAGTTCAATTCCTTGTACCAAAAAAAAATTTTTTTATTAATTTATTTTTACTTTTAAGTACAGGGATCGAACTTGGGTCCTTGCACTTTCAAGGAAGGTGGCCGAACCACTGAGCTAAATCCCTGGCCCTAAAAAAAAATTTTCAAACCTAGTCATCTGTATGTGTCCAGTGCTCAGATGCCCAGTCAGTCAGCTCTGGCCTGCATTACAAGCTGTGTCTGGGACACCAGCCCAGCCACCCTTACAGAGAGGCACACAGCCTTTCCCACATCCACCAGCAGCCGCCTCCACTCTATGTCCACACCTTCCTCTTCACCTCATCTCCCTCTCCCAAGCCCCACCCCACACTGTGGAAGCCCTTTCTGACTCTTGGGTGGCATCACTCCCAGAGGGGACCCTGATGACCCACTGTGGCTCCAGCCACTCAGCAAGGACTTCGGTGCCTGCCCTCTGTCTCTCTGAAGCATCACTGGGACCCCACCTTTCTTTCTCTTTGACTGACACCCCAGGCCCTGCCCATCAGGCTTTCCTTCCCTCTGAATGATGCCGGGTTTTTCTCTTTCTACCTGAGGCTGAGCTTGTTTTGGGGGCCCTCCTGCACTTTGACCCCCACCACTAAAGCAGACCCCAGGCCCTTGAATATATGGTCAGTTTCTCCCCAGCTATGCCAGAACTTGAGTTTCCCTGACTCTCTCTTCCCTTTCTTGTCTCTCTCTAGCCTCCTAGTTGGACCTCTAGGAACAGCACCTTGGGAGTGTCTCACTGCCCTCTGAGTAGGGGGTTCCCCCAACTTGCTGACTCTCGCCAGTGTCAAGGGTATCCTTCACCATGGCAACCCATCCCTAGGTACCTAAGCTCTTTATAGGTCTATTGGCCAGAAGGAGCAGGTTGGGTGGAGAAAGAGGTTCCGCTGTTCTGCATGATCCACCCAGCATGGCCCACCCCAGCCTGCTTGGGAGGGAAGGGGTAGCCTCTCTTTAGGTGGAATTTCAGAGGGGTCTTAAAGGGAATGTGCCCAGATGTCTTCATTGAGTGTGTTGGGTCTCAAATGTGTTGGCTCTCTCTCCCCTGGGCTCTGACCAAGGCATAAGAGGCTGGCTTCAGCTGGGTCTCAGCCATCTTAAGTGGTCAATCTTTTGGACCATGCCTCCTCCACATAAGTTCAGGCGGATTACCTTCCTACTGCAGAAAGTGCTGTGTGCAGGCAGAGGCCAGCATTCCCACCTGCTTCAGTATTCTATTTCTTGTCCTCAATTCTCTCTTGCTAAGCAAATAGGGGGAGCATTCTCTAGGTCCACAAATGGCCACTCCTTCCACTTAGCATGGCTCCTGGGTCACAACCAAGGGAGAATCCATTGGGAAGATGCTGGAAATTTAGCTGGCTTTCCCCTTCCCACCCAGCCACAGACAGAACCCAGAGCCCCAGTTGTCTGCCACATCCTTGTTGCAGTGACTCTCGGGCCTAGGGACCAATGACCAAGCTTCAGTCCCCAGTCCAAGTCTGGGGTGCAGTTACAGGCAATAGAGGAGCCCAGGAGCCCACCTCATTTTTCCTGTCCCCAGTGAAATCTACAGTGGTTCTAAGGTTTGTCTGTCATTCTGAGCTTATCAAAAATGTTTCTGTTGCTTACAGTATTTTTTTTTTTTTAGCAGTGGTAAAAAGTTGCCTTTCTATAGTTAGAATGCCAGTCTGTGTGACAGCCAGAGCAGTTTCACAGTGAGCAAGAGGGCCTTGGTTCATTGTCTCTCCCTCAGCCCCTCAAGGGTTAAGGAGAGGTAGGGGTTAGGGTCAACTGCTGCAGTTCATTTTCTCTGTATGTTTGGAGTTGACTCTTCCCCCTAAGGGAACCACAGACATCCCCCCGCCACAAAGATCCTTTGGCCACAGACCCTCCTCACTGGCCCTGGGGATCCTGAATCTCCCCACAGCCATGTCACCTCCCTGTACAATCTGTTGGGAAGGAGTGGAGGAGGGTAAGAGAACCAGTGGAAGATGAGAAGGGGACAGGAGGGTAGGAGGCAGGTAGGGCAGTGGGTGGAGGGTAGCCCTGACAGAGGCAAAATTTGCCGGGCTTCTTCTCCAGGTCTATGGCCAGCCCCTGGCCCCTCAGAGCCTCTGTTTCAGCAGGTAGTAACAGTCAGCTTCATGGTTTGTGCACAGAGAAGCAGCAGGGTTCCCAGCACACTGAAAACTCTAGCAGAAGCTGTGTGACTATTGATGTGTCCTCATTGTATCCCTGTGACACTGGCTGCAGAACCTGGAAGAGAGGCAGGGTGGGGTGGTGTCCTCAGTGGCTGGGTTAGGCCAGAGGACCTGTCTGAGCCTCCCTCCTCCTGTGCTTGCAACTCCAACAGACACTGGCTGTGGCTTCCCCACGGGATCTTGGCCACTGCCCACTTGCAACAGCCACAGTGCCTCTACTGAGGGTGGAAGGACTAAGCTGCAGCAATGGGTGGGGGCCTCTAGGTTAGTGGCCTCCGGGGAAGCTGCCAGTGGATGAACTTCAGTTGTGTTGCCAGCAGCCTCCAGGGATGCTGCCTGGCTGCCTGGGGACAGCTCCACTCCAGCACCAGTGCCCCCTTGCATCACCATCCACTGTCTCTCAGGCTTCTCAACCATGGTGACAATAGTAGTCACACCTCCCAAGGGAGGCTCACTCCTGCAAGGCTGAATCCATCTGTCCTGATGTCCAGCCAGGAGATAACCTGTCTGGCCATGTGGTTCCCCTCTCTGATAGCAGTGAGGGCTGAGGCTGGTTGAGCATACTTGCTCCCTTCGTGGACAGAGGGAGATAAGTCTCTTTTGCACTCCTAAACCCCAGGAACCTCACTTACCACAACAGAAAGGGTGGGTGGGCTTGTTCCTTGGGCACCTATGCCTTCTGGTTCCAGCCTGCCAAGCCCTAGACTACCACCCTACTGTGGCTGGGCCAGTGGAAGCAGCTCCATCCCAGGATGAGGCTTCAGAAAACCCACAACCAAGGCCTTCAATGGCATATAGCATCTGTTACTTTGAGAAATGTGGGTATGTTTGCACTAATGAGAAAGACCCTCTTAAAAATACTGACATGGGGAGAAGCTGATGACAAATGTCAGGTCTGCAAAAAAACAGGTGGATTTTACAGAAAAGTGTGCCCACATTTTTCTGTCTAGACAACAAATCCACACGCTGCCTGTCTCCCATCTTCCCACCACATAGGGCCCTCTGGACATCAGCTCTGGGCAGAATTTGGGGGTCAGCTACCTCTTCTTGGACTCTGCCTCATGTTCCACTCAGAGACCTGGACAAGAAGATCTGGTGTACGTCCTCTGCCTCACCCATTCCCACTGGTCTTGCTGGCCACCTTCTCCTCCCTGTCCTGGGCCACCCTGCTTTTATAAGAAGGCAGGTGTCTCCTTCCAGTCTTCCTCTCTAAGGGGGAAGGCAGCAGGGTGATCAACTGCCCACTCCCTCATCTATCACCCTGAAATGTGCTCACAATAAAATTACTCATCCTTGGCCAGTGATAAATGAAATCAGTCTACAGGCAACTACACAGGGGTTGAAGTTCCCCATTAGGGATTCCAGAACTGGATGAGAAAAACCCAAGTAAATTGTCTTTGTGTTTGTGCACATCCTGGCCAGGGCCCATCTGCTGTGTGCTCTGGTCTATGAGACAATGTGCATGGGGTTCTATGTGTATGTACTCATAGCCTTGGGGCCAGGCCTCAGAGGGAGGCATCTAGGAGCTGGGGAGTAGGTGTGGCAACCAGGGCAGGGAGGCTACAAAATGGAGAGTTTGCATCTCAGGGCAAGGGGCTAGAGGGTCAGAAATGTAGGGTGAAACACAGGGAGAGGAACTGGCACAGAAGCAGTAAGTGGGCCTCCAAGGGAGGGGCCAGGCAGGCCCTGAGGGAAGGTTCATTTGTGGTGAGAATCTGCAGGTAAGTGGGGCAGAGCCTCTGGGCCTCGGGGCACCTGGCACACCTACAGTGGCAGCATTGTGGCAGTTGTCCCTGTGGGTCCTACCAAATCTCTAGTCTGTTCTTCCAGCAGAGGACTCTGATGAAGATGCCTGAGTGCCAGCGGCCCCAAGCCCAGAGGGACCCCTTTGGGATTCTGTTTCAGTTAGGAAGTCAGGATTCCTATGACAGCCAGAGTGCCAAGTTCCAGAAAGTTCAGAAGCTCAAAGAATAGGACTCATTCTGACCAGGGGAGCCAAGGAAGGATTCCAGAAGGAAGATGGTTTGGACCAGGTGCTGAGGATGAGCAGTGTCAACAGAGGGAGCCACAGCACTGCTCTGTGTGCAAGGCTGGAGCTTCCAAAGGAAGGGTTGCTTACCTGGTCTCCTAGGCTGGCATCCAGTCTGGCACAGAGACTGCTCGGTGACAATCAAATCAAGGAGAAATCAGGGTCCTGTGTGCACCTTGCAGGCTGTAGGTAACGGATCAGGAGAGCTCCTGGTGGTGAGGCCAGTAAGAAAGAATAGAGTCAGGAAAGAGTAGGGGCCGGAGAGAGCACTGAGGAGGGCCTCCTTTAACAGGCCACACTGTTTGAGGACACCGGACACGGACTGTGAGAACTGTGCTGCTTTTCTGCCTTTGAGGAAAGTGCCTGGCAGAGAGGAGGCCCCAGTGCAACACTGAACTCCAGACAGCACCCATGTGGCCTCCAACTTAAGATACCAGGGTTCTCTGCCTACTGCTGGTTGAGGGTTGGTGGTTTTCTCTCTCTTACCCCATGCAGGCTCATGTGAGGTGGAGTGGGGCAGACATTGCCTCAGATTAAATGCTGCTTTATTCTTCCCATGAAGACCTAAGAGTGAGACCTGAAAGAACCAAATGGCTCCCAAACCCAGAGCAAAGTGAAAATTTACAAAAGTAATCAGCATCAAAAAAACTATCACAGCAGGCCAGGAATGTAGCTCAGTAGCATAAGTGCCTACCTGGCAAGCACAAGGCCCTGAGTTCAATTCCCAGTACAAAAAAAAAAAAAAAAAAAAAAAAAAAACCCCCC